ATCAACTGACATATTCCCTTTATTCCACTCATAACTCAACTGATGAAACAGAGCGTTGTGATTGGTCAACTGATGGTTGTGAGCTCTACATAACACCTAGGTCTACCAGACTCTAATGGATAGTTTTGTGCGAGTGAGGAGCAGGTTTTGTGGAAGTCTGAGCGTCTGTATTTTCTCTTGGAGCATGCAGGTGTCTTTTTAGCAAAAAATAGTTGCCGGTAGCCATCGAGTTCCATAGTATTTCATTCCATACAATGGAAGTCAATGGCTACCGGCAACTGTTTGCTTATCCATACTCTTACTCATACTACTATCTTCTTTTGTGTTGCTGAATTTAAGTGCCTGTGAAATGTAAATGATGTAACCACTGGTTAAAGGCTCATTAGGATGGCGTTAGCAGATAACAGATGCATGATTACGCTGACGTTCACACTCGAGTGCTTCTCTGAGCTGACAGCAGCGGCTGTGTTTCTATATTCAGATCATTGGAGAGTGTTGTTTCTCCTCAACGCCTCGACTCGACGCTCACGCGGGTTGCCAGATTGTCAGTGGAAGGCGACGAGTTTATTTATTTGTGTTTTAATGTTCCTTCTGAGGGTTTTATCATGTTGCTATTCGGTTGCTATGGTTTTCTGAGGGTTTTAACACATAGCTCTGCAGTTGCTACAGGTTTCCGAATGGGTTTTAATATTACTATGCTGTTGCCATGGTATTATGAGGGTTTCAGCACATTGCTATGCGGTTGCTAATGCAATGAAAGAATCAAATCAAGTCTTTTTTTCAGTCTATGGGATCTTTTCTATTTGATTTGGTTTTGTTATTAGTAAATTCTAGCGATTTGAACAAACCCATATGCTTAACTTAGCACTAAGCAATAGTAAAACCAAGTAATGGAGAAATGTTTCACAAGCACAGGAGCCTGTCGTGGCCCGGCGGCTGTGTTTTGATTAGGCCAGTGCTGGCACTAGCGCCGTAACAGATCAACAGCGGGAGAGAAATGGCCAAAAAAAACTGCAGTGAGGCGGGAATCCAGCAGAGCTGTGGGGTCTGGAGCTCTCGAGGAGTTTGAGAGATAACAGTTTGCATTTGCTTCAGTATTTAATAAGACTGAGAATGAAGAGAGCTGCTCTCAATGAGATCCAGATGATCGTACCACACACGCTGACCTGGCAACCGCTCACCGCCACATCTGGACGCCTGACAGCCCTCAGCCTCATGAAGAACTACATTTTACATTTCAACTCATTCACTAAGGTGTACTGGGTGGTTGCTATGGTGTTCTGGATGGTTGCTAAGCTGTTGCTAGGTGGTTTCTAGGTTGTTCTGAGTGCTTACACCTGTTGCTAAGCAGTTGCTAGGGTATTCTGATGGTTGCTAGGCTGTTGCTAAGTGGTTGCTATGGTATTCTGTGTTGTTGTTAGGTGGTTGCTAGGGTGTTTTGAGTGTTCCCACACATTGCTACGCAGTTGCTAGGGTGTTCAATATGGTTGCTAGGTTGTTACTATGTGGTTTCTAGGGTGTTCTGGATGGTTGCTAAACTGTTGCTAGGTGGTTTATAAGGTGTTCTGGATGGTTGCAAGGCTGTTGCTAAGTGGTTGCTTGGGTGATCTGAGTGTTTACACCTGTTCCTAAGAAGTTGCTAGGGTGTTCTGATGGTTGCTAGGCTGTTGCTCGGTGGTTTCTATGGTATTCTGCGTTGTTACCAGGTGTTTGCAGGGGTGTTCTGGGTGGTTTCTAATCTGTTGCTAAGTGGTTGCTTGGGTGTTCTAAGTGTTTACACCTGTTCCTAAGCAGTTGCTAGGGTATTCTGATGGTTGCTAGGCTGTTGCTTGGTGGTTGCTATGGTATTCTGTGTTGTTACTAGGTGTTTGCAGGGGTGTTCTGGGTGGTTGCTAGGCTGTTGCTTGGTGGTTGCTATGGTATTCTGTGTTGTTACTAAGTGGTTGCTAGGGTGTTCTGGGTTGTTACTATGGTGTTTTGGATAGTCGCTGGATAGTTCTGGATAGTTTTTATAAAATTAAAAATGAATGTTAAATTGATGATTTGCTCTGCATTGCGAGTTTTTATCGGATGATTGGCAGTAAGATTTTATGACGATTTACCCGCCAATGCCAGCAGCAGCTCGCCCAGACTCTGCTGGTATAGATCAAGCGTGTCGTAGTCCTCGGCGCCGCTCTCCTCCTGCACACATCACAACTTCATTACCCATCATGCAACACTGCAGCTCACATGACACACATGCAAATGAGCCGTCGCAACACTTACCCGGCCAACAGCAGTGGACGCCACTTCCAGGGCCGCCAGCAAACGCGGCTGATCTCTGGACATTTCTGTGAATGCAACGAAGATCTGAACGTCAGAACTGGAGTGAGATATTAGATATTAACAATGCAGCACTGCTTACCTATCAATATGTTCCTGGTTGATTTTGCCTCCTCAAAACTGATTTTGTTGTCCGATCTGACCAGCGCTTTGAGCTCCTCGGCACGAGAAACATACTGATTCACCTGAGAGGAAACAAATGAGCATCCAGTAAACTGGATCAGTGTTAAGAACTAAGTTTATAATTGACCGTTCGCAAAAAGCTTGATTGACAGGCGATCTGACCAATCATAACGCAGAATCCACCATCTTGTCCGGCAAACAAATCAGACGGGAGACTAGATTAACTTCGGAGGACTTAAACTTGAAAAATGTTGTGTATTTACTAGAGATGTAACGATATTATCAATATCGTGATATCGCGATAGCAAAAAGTCTCGATATTGTTGTGGTCACAGTTATGCTTTATTTTCCGCAGCAGATGATGACAGCATTTCACTAGATTTGTAGTTAGACGTGTTTTTGTAAGCCTGTTTTCACTGAAGCTGTTTTCCGTCAAAATAAAAGCTTAAGGTGCAGCATGAATCGCTGACAGCTAGCGGTTTAAATTCAGTCCAAATTCAAAATATCTCTTTCAAGTGTAGAAATTAGGAAAGAAGTATTGTAATTTCCCTACTGTAGTGTAAAGCAAAAAATATATACCTATGAGGTATTCATTTTCATTTATTTTACAGTGCAATTGTTTTACAATATATGGCTATTACTGTTATTATTACATTATAATTTGTTTGGCTTCCTAAAACACCAGTGTGGATGTAATTTAGACTGAGACAGTATATCACAACTAAAGAGTCCCTTTTAACTTTTCTTAGCTAACACGGGTTGGAGCTCTTAATTTCGAACTCTCAAAGTGCATTAGATAGAATAATTTAACTAAAATGTACAAAATTGTAAAACATTTTCCCAATTCTTCATTTGTCCTTTTTTTTTAAATTATCGCAATAAATATCGTATCGTGGAATTCATATCGCGATATTATCGTATCGTGAGATTTTGATATCGTTACATCCCTAGTAATGACGTCTCACCGCGGTGGAAATAAAATACCTTCTGAAGTTCATTCATGTTTATTTCGTGAATAGACGATCGGTTCAGGCGCGACAGTGATCTGTCACGACACATTAAAGAGACAAAAAACGGTATTTATTGTTTGAATTTCTTAAAAAGTGACAAAGTTTGAAAGCTTATGACCTGGTTTTTTTACCTAAAATAACCTTCTCTGTTTTGTCTGTCGGCGTGTTGTCAGTATTTTTCACTGCGTGAGAACATGATGTGTAGCATGAGAACGGCTTGGCTTGTCGGACATAGCAACAGTAACTAAGGAGGGTGGGTTTTTGCGAAGGGTCAAACGACATGCTTTCTTTACCTTCTGTCTCAGCGCTTCCTTCCTCTGTCTGTCTGTCTCATCTGAAAGAGCAGAGACAGAGATGATGAGAGTGCATTGTGACTCGAGTAACAGAGAGACGCTCGTGTCTTACAGTGAATGGCAGGAACGAAGTGTTCGAGTGCACTACAGTAGAGAGATAACGCAGCCGATCGCTCTCCATCCTGGTCCTTCTGCACCGCCTGCAACACCAGCGCTTTCTAGAGGACAAATACAGTTCACACACGGCAAAACATGACTTTCTT